ATTTCGATAGAACGATATAAAATATAAAAAAACGCGCCAAACTGACGCCGATCGCCGTCCTTGTATGGAGTAACGGCGATGGATCAGCATATTCACAAAGCACTCATGTTAGTGTTGTTCAAACCTCTCGGTCTGTTAGGATGCCTCGGCTACACACATTGCTGCGCTTCTACCTGGCACCTATCGTACAAAAACGGCTAGTCTTGCCGTGACCTCTGTTGGTGTTTTTTCACTCAAAATCCACGTGCATTTTTTTTGCTAGCAGGTCTGATACTGCATGCATATTGACTGTGTGGATTTGGGGAGAGCACTCATCTTGAGGTGGCTTTCCTACTTAGATGCTTTCAGCAGTTATCCACTCCGCACTTGGCTACCCAGCGTATACCGTTGGCACGATAACTGGTACACCAGCGGTGCGTCCCTCCCGGTCCTCTCGTACTAGGGAGAGGTCCTCTCAATGCTCTACGCCTGCACCGGATATGGACCAAACTGTCTCACGACGTTCTGAACCCAGCTCACGTACCGCTTAATGGGCGAACAGCCCAACCCTTGGCACGTACTACCGCGCCAGGTGGCGAAGAGCCGACATCGAGGTGCCAAACCTTCCGTCGATGTGAACTCTTGGGGAAGATCAGCCTGTTCACTTTTTGTTATCACAAAGCTGTTTATCTTTTGTTTCTCCAGGTTTCCCAGGAGGTCAGACTATGTCATCAACTTTTTCGTCGCGGAGTTTGTAATTTATGTCTCATTGATGGATAATATATGGATCAATTAACTCCATCAAAGTTTCATAACTTTTTCCAGAATTGCTAGACAATGATACTTTTGTCGGTTTTGTCCAACATTGAAGATGCCACTTTTCTCGCAATCCTTCACATAAAGAATCTATTTCTTGCTTGGAAAAGCTTGTGTATGTAAGGTTGGAAACATAAATTTCATACGAATTCTTGGAAAAGTTGCTGGGCACTCGTGGAGAGATTATTGGTTAACACATCCGCACTCTCTAGTCGTTGAACGTTCTCGTTTACTTTTGTGATTTTACACATGTGTTTTCAACGAGCTTCGCTGCAAGTTAGCATAGCTTGTTTGTGAAGCCTTAGCCGTCCTTGCAATTCACCAGTTTATTGCCTTCGTGTTACCACGAAGCGGGACAACAGAACTCATCCCTAGAGTAACTTTTATCCGTTGAGCGACGGCCTTCCACTCGGAACCGTCGGATCACTAAGGCCGACTTTCGTCCCTGCTCGACGGGTGAGTCTCGCAGTCAAGCTCCCTTCTGCCTTTGCACTCGAAGGCTGATTTCCGTCCAGCCTGAGGAAACCTTTGCACGCCTCCGTTACCTTTGGAGGCCTACGCCCATAGAAACTGTCTACCTGGGACTGTCCCTAGCCTTCTTCTAGGCATAAGGTTAGAATCCTAGCCCTTCTAGGTGGTCTCTCATCTTCGGCTCGAATGTCCCAGAAGGACACCGTCTTCGCTCCACTAGACTGCGCAAGAAGGGCCAAACCCATCCCAGGGAACAGTAAAGCTTCATAGGTCTTTCTGTCCAGGTGCAGGTAGTCCGCATCTTCACAGACAAGTCTATTTCACCGAGCCTCTCTCCGAGACAGTGCCCAGATCGTTACGCCTTTCGTGCGGTCGGAACTTACCCGACAAGGAATTTCGCTACCTTAGGACCGTTATAGTTACGGCCGCCGTTCACCGGGGCTTCGGTCGCCAGCTTTCCCGTACTCGAGTAACCGACTTCCTTAACCTTCCGGCACTGGGCAGGCGTCAGCCCCATACGTCGTCTTTCGACTTTGCGGAGACCTGTGTTTTGGTAAACAGTCGCCTGGGCTGGTCACTGCGGCCCCCATAGGGGGGCACCTTTCCCGAAGTTACGGGGCCATCTTGCGAGTTCCTTAGAGAGAGTTGTCTCGCGCCCTAGGTATTCTCTACTACCCACCTGTGTCGGTTTCGGGTACAGGTGCCCACTTGCTTGCTTCTCTTGGCAAAACCAGAAGGTTTGTGCCTGTATCGGCGTAAGAGCTTTTCTTGGGAGCGTGGCATCAGCTACTTCGGACCCGTAGGTGCCTAGTACTCAGGTTTTTGGCCCTTGAACGATGACCATTGTTCGGCTAGCTTAGCCTCCTCCGTCCCTCTTATTGCCAGCAAGGGCAGTACAGGAATCTTGACTGTTGTCCATCGACTGCGCCGTCGGCTTGATCTTAGGTCCTGACTCACCCTCCGTGGACGAGCCTTGCGGAGGAACCCTTGGGTTTTGGGGCATTGGATTCTCACCAATGTTTGCGTTACTCAAGCGACATTCTCACTTCCGCTTCGTCACACCTGTTTGCACTGATGCTTCTCCTAATGCGGAACGCTCCCTACCGATGTCTTTGATAGACATCCACAGCTTCGCAGAACGCTTAGTCCCGTTATCTTCGGCGCAAGAGCGCTCGATCAGTGAGCTATTACGCACTCTTTCAAGGGTGGCTGCTTCTAGGCAAACCTCCTGGCTGTCTTTGCACTCTCACCTCCTTTGCCACTGAGCGGTCATTTAGGGGCCTTAGCTGGTGGTCTGGGCTGTTTCCCTCTCGACGATGAAGCTTATCCCCACCGTCTCACTGGCTGACCAATGTTCTTACCTAGTATTCAGAGTTTGCCTCGATTTGGTACCGCTTTCGCAGCCCGCACCGAAACAGTGCTTTACCCCTAGGTAGTCTAGTCAACCGCTGCGCCTCAACGCATTTCGGGGAGAACCAGCTAGCTCCGAGTTCGATTGGCATTTCACCCCTAACCACAACTCATCCGCTGATTTTTCAACATCAGTCGGTTCGGACCTCCACTTGGCTTCACCCAAGCTTCACCCTGGCCATGGTTAGATCACCCGGTTCGGGTCCATAAACAGTGACATTCGCCCTAGAAAGACTCGCTTTCGCTACGGCTCCGGAAAACCTTAACCAGGCCACTGCCTATAAGTCGCCGGCTCATTCTTCAACAGGCACGCGGTCAGAGATCCCATTCTCCTCCCACTGCTTGGAGGCTTACGGTTTCATGTTCTATTTCACTCCCCGATGGGGGTTCTTTCACCTTTCCCTCACGGTACTACTTCACTATCGGTCATCCAGGAGTATTTAGCCTTACGAGGTGGTCCTCGCTGATTCACACGGGTTCCACGTGCCCATGCTACTCGGGTTAGAGCGTAAGCTAGAGTTACTTTCGGCTACTGGACTATCACCATCTAAGGTGCAGGATTCAGCTGCTTCGCCTAGTAACTCTTAACTCGTGTCACTCTCCCACAACCCCGCTTGCGCGGTTTAGGCTGTTCCCATTTCGCTCGCCACTACTCAGGGAATCGCTTTTGCTTTCTTTTCCTCTGGCTACTAAGATGTTTCAGTTCGCCAGGTTGTCTCTTGCCTGCCTATGTATTCAGCAGACAGTCAAATAGGTTCCCCTATTCGGGTATCTCCGGATCAATGCTTGTTTTCAGCTCCCCGAAGCATTTCGTCGATTTCTACGCCCTTCTTCGTCTCTGGATGCCTAGGTATCCACCATAAGCCCTTCTTCATTTGAACCTCAATCATTTCAACAGTGCTCAACAAATCTATAGGTACTACAATAAACTAGAACTCAAGGGTTGTTCAACATCCATCTACGGTGTTGCTTTATAGCTTTGGCCGTAGGTTAATCAAATCTCTATCGGCTGGAGGTAAGCGGACTCGAACCGCTGACATCCGCCACAGGGTAAGTAGTCGTTCACGCCGATTTCGATGGCAACTAGTAGAATCTAGGTTGCCATCGGGGCGGAGAGTCGCCGACGGCAGGCAACTACTCCCCTCCGAACACAGCCTACAACTCTCATCGTACTGTGCTCTCCAAGGGCCACTCTGATTTATGCCTTCGTATTAACTGGGGCAACAAGATTTCAGTGGCCCTCTCCGACCCTCACTGTTCATGGCCATAGGTCATGGGCTCTATGGTCGGTCTGTGACCCTGGGCTAACTACAAGAGTAGGCCCGCTGGGGTGATCTCGGAGTTTCTGCGAGTTGGTTATGATGGGATCGGTCCATGGCTTATCACTCCGAATAAGTGCAACTTGTGCTCGGAGGGATGAAGAGAGATAGTATATCAAGCTGTTCGCAAGGACCAGCTCAATTCTCTTCCCTAGGGCTACAGGTGAGATAACCCTAGGAGAGCCGCCAACTCCAACCGTAGGCCATGTACGACCCGTCATAGGTCTAACCAAGTGCCCATCTTACCTTTCCTGCACTCTTTATCACACACCTTGAGACAAGAGGCAGAGTTATAAATGGCATGTTCCAGTCCTCCTCCCCATTTCTGGGAAGAAGTTAGCCATCGGTTTCGATAAAGAATACTATCATTACCGCTTAGCAAGCTAAGCTTCCAACCCGCAAACGCAACGACCCAATTGCAAGGGCGGCGCTCTACCAACTGAGCTATACCCCCTTCAAACCAAAACATCAATCAAGATGATTGTCACTAGTGTATCCAGTATACCCCTTGGTGTCAATCCCATAAGCCTCTTTATCTACGACTCAAAAAAAAGAACTCCACTATTGAATTTCACTAGATTGCATCCCATCCAAACAACTAATTGAAATATGAGATGACTATTTTTGTTAATTTGTGATATTCATTCACAATTCCATAGAAAAAGTAAAAGATATTCTAGGAGATAGAAAGAGAAAAACAACCGAGTATTACCAGCGAGTATTACCAGGCTACTAGAATAGGTCTTAAATAACTTAGGAGTTTTGTGAAGAAAATTGAGAAAAGAAAAAAAGATGGTTCCATATGGAAGCCAATTAGTTACAGATCATATGTCACCCACCCCAAAAGATTTTTTTGAAATCGGCTATTTTTTCCATACATTTGTTACCACAAAACACTTATTATGTGGCACGACTAAGTTTGCGTATTGTGTTGCTTTTACCATATAGTGATAATTGTGTGGTACTTCGTTATTATTGCAGTTTGTCCACTAGAGCTCCTTTGTTTGAACTCTCTAAGCTTTGAAACAAAGAGCTCTCTATTCCTCCACATATACATCCATCGAAAGTTTGTTCTCCACGCAGTTGTAGAAACCAGGGTGGTATATCTCCTGCTGATGCTAATGGTATAACCTCGTCGTTTTTCACTGGTGCAAGATAAGAATAATTCAACTGGGTAAAGTTTAAGGTTAGATTTATTAAAGTCATGCCACGTGATGTCCGAACTAGAGAAGGATTGTGGATTGTATTTCCTTTTTGTTTCATACGCAAAAAACAAGCTACGGCTCTATAAAAGTTTGTCTGGTCGGGCACTTCATTGTAATGTTATGCTGTTTTTCAAAAGACCGCAGGTCTTTGCAGTATCTTGTATACAAAAGGTTCGCTGGCAATTCATTTTCTGGTTGTACGACTAATACTTTTTCGAAGTATTTTATTGAGAATACATACAAAATTTAGGGCATGTTAATGGTGGTCGTTATGTTTTTTTCCATTGTTTGTATATTGTGGGAGTGGTTAAGGGGGAACGCTTGCGGTTTGTATTGAGATATTAGTCTGGCCCCCCCTTTGCTTATGTGTATAATGTAAGTTGGTTGTTGTCGGTATCAGGCTCTTCTAGCCCAGTAGTTATCGCTAGTCATAGTCAGTACTTCGTAGGATATTGTAATGAACATTCGTTTTGGATCATTTTCGATAAGTTGTATGACTTTGGTGTCAAAAAACTTTCTGTTTCCAAAGATCATAACTGCATTGATAATGATTGGACCATATTCTGTGCGTTCGAAGCTCGTTCTGGCATATTTGTCTGCTTCACACTCAAGTTCAGTTTGTAAACAAACATGACCACTGATGCAATACGATGCCCCAGGTAGGTTTCGAACCTACGACCAATCGATTAAGAGTCGAAAGCTCTACCACTGAGCTACTGAGGCACACTAGCACACTATATATGATATATCTTCATTCCAAGTAGTTTCCAGCTAATAATTGCTGTAACATATGAATATCTAAAACTATGGTTTAAACTATGTTTTTTTTTAGTTTTATTGATGCATAAATTAATAACCTGTTTATTTATTTGTCTAAGAGTTGGTATGGTTTTGGCTTCCCTTCCCTAACCGAGGATACCGTGCTTAATTTTAAAAACATATTCCTCTGCTTGAAGTGGCCATTCATGAAGTATTGTGATGTCTTCTTGTAAGCCGCGTAGTGCCTGCTTCCACACACTGCGTGAGTCTGAGGCGACAGCTTTCTCAAGGGTAGAACTGTCTCGCCTGTTTCCAATAGATAATAAATATGATTTTTGGTTAATACAACAAGGTTTGCTTATCTGATGCCTGTATCAAACAATAATGTTGTAGTAATTCGGACAAGAGCAGAAAATATGTTCTTTTAGATTCTATCTTGCGTTCATAATAGTATGTTAGTATATTCTTCTTGTTCCCTCCGGCCCCTTGGTTTTCTTTTTTAGCCCATCCTTTTTTTTTCTCCTATCTCCAGCTATTCCAGTTTTTTTCATACTATTTTCCATACTGAAGCAAATCATGGGACCACGCATATTTATAGCTTATAGATAGAAATCCAAAAAGGGGGGCTGAAACTGTATGGCGCTAATACGTCTTGTAACCTCGATACAACTGTACGGTATTCTTACAGTTTTGTACAGTTTAGTGACACTCTTGCATTTCAAGCTTCTATCAGATCTCCCTCAAATGGCTATATCATCATCAGATAATGAAACTGTTATTACTCTTTCACCTAGAGCAACTATACTCTCTATCTCTGTCATGAATTCGATGATTTTACTAGTTGAATGTGGGATAGCACTCTACATTTTTTTGTCGTCTACCAAGCATTTTGGGCTGTTTTGAAGAGAATGCATGGACGTGTGTCGAAGAGTTTCAAGGTACTGAGGCTTTTATGTTATGTGTATATCTTTTCTATAGGATTCTCAAGTTTTTTTAATCTTTGTGGGGTGGTAACGCTATAAACATTTTCTTTAGAAAATAACAGCAAATCATACAGGAACTTATATTAATTAAGAGTATATGTTGACTCGTAAATGTATACGATAACCAATTCAGTTTTGTAGTATGACTAGGTGCCGAACTCAAGTTTTCCTAATTAAGCAAGTCGCATTCTGTTGGCCAAAAAGAATCACAAGTCTACGAGAGAAATAGTTCATGGGAAGACTAAATCAAATTGAATCATCCAAAGATTTTTATATTGTGGAATAGACGGGCGAGGAGGGACTTGAACCCCCGACTCCGCGGTTCGTAGCCGCGTGCTCTAATCCGCTGAGCTACACGCCCTTAGGTACTTTGACGGACATTACTTTGTAAACAAAGTATATCATACATTCCTAGAGAGAACAAGCAGACCCTAAAATTAATATCCCCACATTTACTAACATCAAAGAGAAATCTTTTGCATACTACAAAATGATTCTAAAATTCCTACTGTAGACTACTGCACGATACTGTACAGTACCGAACGTTACTGAACAGTACTCATAAATCCAATCGACTCAACACTCCCATATACATACTCAAAAAAAAACAAACAGTGCGCGAGGTGTTGGTATACACAAAACCTAGGTTCTGTGTATATGAACATGGGGGTGTAGACAAAACGTGGGTTCTGTGTACATCTTGTCTATGAGAAATTAATTGTCGCAAAAAAAATTTGTGGACCGGGAAAAGAGCTTAAGTCGCATGAATTTTTGAGCAAGAAGATGACTTCTTGAGAATCTGCTTTGAGCATACTTTCGATTGTTATCACAATGGATATCGTGTGAAGAAGAAAGGAACAAGGTCAAGATATGAAGGGGGAGGAGGGATTACTCATAATGGTGTCACAAATGTTGCAAAAGAAGCATAAAAAAAACTTTTTACGAATAAGACTTGTTGTTGCAAGTTCTTTTTTTAGAGTGGGATTGGGCATCAAAGACTAGTTGTGAACTAATCAAGAAAGAATTTCTTAGGGAAGGGTGTTGCAGTGTTACAAAACGGATATGATTAATAAACTTTTTTCAAAGAAGACTTGTTGTTGCAAGTTTCCCATCTCGGCTATCAAGACAAATTCCTCGTCAATTAGGAGGGGAGTTAGTTATGATTCATTAGAATATGACATATTAATGAGAGATTACTTATTACTGAGAATCATAAACTTATAATAATACTAACCTAGAGAGAAAAGATTCTATTCATCTCTAATAATAAAAAGGATTTTATTAAAGCATAAAAGTGCTTCATGAGCGAATTCTATATAGTGGACCATCTTGGAGGGCGATGAATGTCAAATAACTTACAACGACAAGTTATGTTTGAAAAGAATTGCTAAACGAGGACATTTTGTGACACTTGCGACACTATTCCCTAAGAATCCATTTATTATCGTATCTGCCCTTCTAAATCATGAAAAAAACTTGCAACAACAAGTCTTCTTTGAAAAAGGTTTGCCAATTTAATTTGGGTTGGGTCATTTGCAACATTTGCGAAACCATTTCCAAATAATTTATTGGAACTAATCATTTGCTTCACCT